TGTTTGTGCGTGCGTGTGCGTGTGTGAGCGTGTGTGTGTGTTTGTGCGTGCGTGTGCGTGTGTGTGCGTGCGTGTACGTGTGTGTGTGCGTGTGTGAATTCGACGGGTTGTTTTTTTGTGATATGACCTCAATATGCTCGCACCTAGGAAGAGAGAGAGATAAGAGGTTAAGAAGAGGCGAAGAGGGAATTCAACTTTCTGTTTTTTTCACATGCAGGCAGATCTGCATGGGTAGAGTAAGCACGAAAGAGGCAGTCACCTCATGAAAGGTCTTCACACTGCGTTCTTGTCATCATCATTGTCGTCTTCATCATCGTCATCGTCGTCGTCATTGTCAGTGTCAACAATATTGTCATCGTCGTTGTCGTTGTCGGCATCGGCACCTCAACATCGTCGTCATCATCATTACCGTCATTGTCGTCATCATCATCGTCATCGTCATCGTCGTCGTCGTGACTCACCTGCGTTACTGCCGTCCACGCTCCCTCGGGCTGGTCGTACACCCATCCCGCGGCGTCACACGGCACCGCCGACGCGTTATCATAGAACGTTGCCGGTAGCAGCAGCGTCGACGGGGCCAGGGCCGACGTATTATCGTAGAACGCCGACGAATTATCGTAGAACGACGGCGGCAGCAGCGACGACGGAGCCAGGGCCGACGCGTTATCATAGAACGCCGATGCATTGTCGTAGAACGACGGTGGCGGCAGACTACCGTTCGCGTACAGTCCAGCGATGAGATCGTAGTCTCTGTGCGCGTATTTGTAGCACTGCGAGTAGCGCTCCCTACCGGCGCGCATCTCCGTCGGCACGCTGTAGTGTCGCTGCAGTTCGAGCGGCAGCAGCGCCCCCTGGAGGGTCGGCACGGCGCACCAGTGGTCGGGCGAGGCGGCGAGGAACGAGATGGCGACGTTGTGAAAGCCGGACGGCACGCCGACGAGAAAGACGACGACGATGCGCCAGTGCTGCCACCTGCCCATGCCGCCGACCGCTTCGAGCGCGCGCTCAAAGTCGACGGCTTCCGGTTCGAGGCGCAGCGGCGTCGACGAGCCGCCGTTTGCGCGCGGGTCACGTGGTTTCTCGGCGTCGGCATCGACCCGTGGTCGGTCGTCGTCCGTCGTCATCGTCGGAATCTCCCAGCCGACGACAGGAAAATTGGCACGCGGTGGGTTAGTGCTGGGGAAGACATAGCTCTAGTACTATAGCCCGCGTACAGTTGCCGCAGGTTCTTCTGCGGCAACTGTACGCGGGCTATAGTACTAGAGCTAGGGAAGACAGAGAGAGAGAGAGAGATTCTAACTCAGCACGGACGCTGCTAACTATACTGCAGTCGATTAACATTGATCAAGATTACATACATCAATAACATCTTAAGATCAAGAGTACATAATAGAGATAATACCCTCTACATATTATACATAATTAATACACTCTATTATGTACTCTTGACACTTGTGCACTTTCACTAGCTAATGTGAGCGGGACACTTACTTACTAACTACCTGCGCGTATGCGCGCGGAAGAGAGTGATTGAAGGAGAAAAATTGAGAGAGTCCAGAGGAAGATACAGACGAAGAGAGAGAGAGAGAGAGAGAGAGCAAGTGAGCGAGAAAGAAAAAGAGATAGAGAGAGCGCGATCGAGAGAGAGAAACACAGAGAGAGAGAGTGAAAGAGACCGAGAGAGAGAGAGAGAGAAAGAGAAGAAAACAGAAAAAGAGCAAGTGACGAGAAGAGAAAGAGAGAGAGAAGCGAGATCGAGAGAGAGAAACGACATCAGGACACTGGAGATGAAACCGAGAGATTGAGAGATCGAGCAGAGAGAGAGCGAGAGAGAGAGAGAGAAACAGCTAGAGGAGTAGAGCAAGTGAGCGGAGAGAGAAACACAGAGAGAGAGAAAGACAGAGAGAGAGAGAGAGAGAGAAGAGAGAACAGAGAGAGGCAGAGAACAGAGATAGAGAGAGAAAGGGATGTATTGTGAGCGCTGAAAGTCGAAAGGAAAATACGTTACGTCGCGTGTCTCCGCGCTCTGGATAGTGCGTGTGTGAAGAGAAGAGAAGGATGTATATAACCGCGCGAGTTCATGAGAGAGCCATGATGTGTTGCTGAGCATGCCTGTGTGTATATGTGAGTATTATGTGTGTGTGGGAGAGATAGCGTGGGCGCTACTACCGCTTTCTCCGCGCTATCTGGCGCTGGCGATGTGTCTATGCAACATGACCAAGAAACTAACTAACGCCAACCGTCAGTGATCAGCTCCACGGATCGGTGTAGAGGCAGCTACTGCCCATGCAATGTGCAGGCATGCAGCCAATACATAATGGGATGGAAAGGATGGCGGTTAACTATAGCTACTGTGTGGACTCGTTCACGGTCTTTATGGTAACGACACACACACACACACAGCACACACACACATCACCACACACCCACACACACCACACACAACACACACACAATCTTCCTCTCTCTCTCTCTCTCCGGTCGCTCTCTTGCTGCTTTCTGGGCCCCGACACGCCTCTTTGAGAGAGAGAGAGAGAGAAAGAGAAGCAGCACGCCAAGCATCGCACGCACGCCACTGCACGCGACGCACGCATGAAACGCATATGTAAACCTGTATATATATAGTATATATATATACTATATATGCACTAATTTATTTAATTTATTGCGCTGTTGTATTTTATTCGAGTTTAGACATGTCGGTATAGGCTTATATATGGCTGCCACGCAGGCTTGTGTTCTCATCTGCCACGGGGCCATGTCAGCCATAGATCGACCTATATATGTCTGTTCTGTTGCCACGCGCCGTGCACAGTTCAACGGCCTCGCAGTCACAGACTCCCCCCTCCCCCTCCCTCTTCCTCTCCCCCTCGCCCCTCTCCGCTCTCCCCCGCCACCGGCCAGGGCAGGGGAGGAGTGATTGCTGTATTGGAATGGCTCTTGCGTCACTGTGATACGAGCGCAGCTTGTTAGACAAGAACAAGGACTCAATCGCGTGCGAATGATATCCTGAACTCAAAGTTATAACAAAAAACCCCAGTTTCCCCGCGAACTTAACACTATATATAATTTCCATTTAATAAGCTCCTGATATATATGATATATAGTATATTATTTATATTTATTTATTTATTTATTTATTTATTTTATTTATTTAATTTATTTTATTTATTTTATATACTATCAATGTGAAGTAAAATCAGCACATGAACAACATAAGTTTTAATAGCGAGCTTCTAGATGTACATCTCTTCAATCAGGCATTGGATATGAAACCGTAATAAAAATAGCATGTATAAATACATGCAATGAAATCTACATATTACAGGAATAAGATAATATATGGATATAGACACGTTGGCTAAGCAAGCCCGCGTATATTTTTAGCGTGTGAACGCAACTTTCTCCTCGTGTGAACGCAGGCTTTATTATATCCTAGTAGGATAATATAGATATATACTCCTATATTATGCGCTTAACTTACTCCTGATATTATCAAGGAGCTTATAAAAAACCTTCATAATACGCTCTTTGATAATTATAATTATGGTATCTGTGTAGGAGGAGTAAACACCCATGCATTGCTGATGTAAGTCTTTTGTGGCTGGGCCATAAAGGTGTAGGAGAGCAAACTATGTGCTCAAAAAAAAATATTATCTTCAGGCGAGAATTTATGGCACGAGCTAAGTAGAGCGTGTCGTTGTGGGGGAGAGGAGGGAGGAGGG